TCGCCCCAATGGATTTGTGTCTTGTAAGGCGTTGATATCAAACAAAAAATCCAAACAAACAAGCAATTTAAAAGAGCTACGAAAAGAACCACATTGACGGTCAGTAGACTTGTACGATCTCATCCCGCATGTCCAATCTGTATATCGCATCCTCCTTTATTCGACCTGGGCCTCTTTCTTCCTCCTCCTATCTCTCTGGCGTGGAGCCCGCTGTGTCTGTGATGTGTTGCTCCGCGGTAAGAACACGGCCTGACACACCCCGCAGGCACTGGCCATAGACACACTGAACATGACCCAGAAGTAACCACATCGGTGCAGGAGGACCTCAACACACAACGGGGCAGCAACGCCCAGCAGCACGCCACTGGCGATAACCATGCCAAGGTTTGTGACGTAGTTTGAAGGGCCGAACAGCGTGAAAGTCATGACGGGGTAGATGACCATTGTGCCGCACTGGATGGCTTGGACCAGGAGTGTCCAAGCGAGGTACAGCCAGCGGTCTGCCAGAGCTGTGAAGTACCAGAAGATCGTGGTGATGGCGTGGAGAGAAAGCAAGACCACGAGGGACACTTTGGGTTCCACTTGGTCTATCACTAAACCCCACACTATCCGAAAAACGAGAACGGTGAGGTTCACAAGGGTGCCCACTGTTGTAAGGAAGTGGTCATCATTGATGTGTTTGAGACCGAACTGCTTGTAGAAATTTATTTCCACTTCGAGACCGTATTTGACGAACAGGTAGGTCAGAGACAGTAGATAAAAGCTGGGAGTTTTCAGCACTTCTCCCGGGCTAGGGTCTGTTGCTTTCTTTTTGGCGTTCTCGGAGTTTTCGGTGCTTTCGGAGAGAACAGGTGAATGTGGTTGCCCATCTAGTTGAGAATTTACCAATGAAGTGAGCTTTGTTTCTTCTGTATTTTTCTCTTCTCGGTTCTCCATTGATGAAATGTCGGTCTTCCAGACACTCCCAGTGTGTGAGGAAGTTGGGGGGTCGGAGATCAGGAAGAGTCCGAGCGCCTGAGACCCAAATGATATAGCACCGAGTTTTAGAAACACAGAAGGCACACGGGATAGAATTTCTTTATCGGAAAAGTATATGCCCGTTCCAAGACGGATGTCAGGGATTTTATTGTCAGGGTTGATAAATACGGTAACTAAATGGTTTAAAATCAGACTTCCACCCCCAAAACCACTCGCGGCAACGGAAGTGGCCAAGCCCAGCGTGTGTGGAAACCAAACTGCGGCATACCACATTGTCATTGCGTAGACGAGACCAGCGAAGAAGCCAGCGCCTACTCCCAGTGTCAGATGCATGGACCAGAAAGAGTTGAGGCACATCACGTACGTCAGGAAGACGGAGCTGTTGAACCCAGCAACACCTACGACAACAAGCCAAAGAGGACCAATCTTATTGGCGATCGCCCCCGATAGAATGACTGCCAAAGTCCAACTCGAGAAGAACACGCCTACCATCCACAGAGATCCTGAGGTGTGATCGG